AGGGTCTGTCTGAGAAGGCAACAGCAGATTCTTAGTATTTTCCTTAAACCAGGACTGGTCTCATCCTAACCTCTACCACTTCTCTGGGTCTCTGTGTCTCAGGGCCCAGATCATCCCTCTTTCGCAAAGCCTGTCCAACACCCCCAGGTGCTGAGGAGCCCCTCCTACAGACCCTCAGAGTATATATGCACATCTCCATTAGAAGCAGGTAACGTTCTGGCATTAGAATTTAGGCCTCTCCAACAGCCTGATTCTTCGAGGGCTCAAATCATATCTCTTTCATCTCTATATACCTAATATCTAGAAAAGGAATCTCAACTTTCTTTCAGATAGGTAAACTAGTCACTGAATGCAGGTTGATTTTCAGGGACTAACCTACGCACAGGTAGTTTCGGTCTAAACTGGGTTCGCAGCTATTCCCAACTGGGGAGCCAAAATCTTGAAGTCTGATTCTTTCTCTTGTTGAATAGAAGGGGGGATGTGCAAAGATGACACAGCTCCTTTCCGGATACCAATCCAGAGGAAGAGGATGGGAGTTACCGCACTGACTCTCAAAAGGGGCCAAGAGACCCACATTCATACTCCCAAGCTTACCACAGATTACCAACCACATTGCAACCTGCTATAACGGGGGATTCCCTTTGACAAGATCAGGCCAAAATTTGATCATGAGGCTTTTCCATGTGAAGAGAGAAAAGGGGGTGTCTGGGGATTATCCATGAGAATCTGGGGAGGGCTCCAACTGCACAAACTAGCTGTGGGCCACAGAATGCTTACTCAGCTCATTAGCACCTGCTGCTTACAGCGACCATTCATCCAACAGACTGGCCGTGAACAAGATGATGGAATCAGCGGGTTCATGCCCCAGAGAGCTTTGCTCATCATTAACATGAGCTACCTCCTGTTCAGGAACCATTCCTCTTGTTGAAGAAACACTGTGATGTAATATGATAAACATGTCCCCATCACGAGTGGAGATTTGTCTAGAAAGATCTGTATAAAGGTGGCTGCATTTTGCATAAATCACATGCTGGGGACAGGTAGGTAGCACTAAAAACCAGTCCCACTTAAGCCTTCGAGTCATTATGGCATATGTGCCTGCTTCACTATAAACCTCAAAGGCCTGTGACCTTGGGCTTTCATTGTTTAAGTCCCCTCCTCCTTTGCAAGGGTGGAATTACCTGTTTATAATGCCAGCGATTACTATGCACCTTGGAATTGAGTAGAGAGTGTGCTCAGTGTGCATGTTTAGATTGGAAGGAATTACCCTACCTTCAAAGTCAAATTCTGCTCCCCATTCATTTAGAAATCATGCACCTCAGCCTCTGAAAGTTGGGAATAGCAGCCAGAAGGAAACAAGTCACATCAGTTTGGCTGATGTGAGAGAGGAGCCTAGACCTGGAAACTCCACACAAACTCAGAAAGAGAACATTACGTCCCCACCTCCCACACGTCTACCTCATCTGTTCTCCTGAACAAGCACAAACAAGACACAGTAGTTTAGTAGGCTACTACTGAAAGAGTGAGTAATGGGCTTCTAGGAAAGAGGCTGGTGGTGGCTAAGGAGCTTGTACTGATAGAACCAAAGGAGGAAAGTAGCAGCCATGTGCTTGCCTTGATCTGCTTTTAATGGGGCTATGTCTTCACAAAGAAAAGAGCCAACACCCCAATCCTGCTCTCCTATACTTTTCAAAAGGCACAGGCAAGTCCCTACCTACAGTCACCCACAGCCTCTTGGATAACCAAAGCTGCTAGTGTTACCTAGGAGCTCTTTTGGGGATCTTGTCTGTCTGTCTCTCTGTCTCTCTCTCCACCCTTTGTCTGCAAACTCCTCTAATCCAGAAAGATTCCTGGGTTTGTCTCACATAATCAGAAGGCCTGTTCCTTCAGACTTGTCCTTTCTCAGCAAAACTGTGAAAGAATTCTACTTCTCTTCCAAAGCTGCTCTTCTGGTCTCACATTTTAACCTTAACGACTACAGAGAAGCTGACAGAACCTGTTTCCATAAAACAAACACAATCCTTCCCAGTTACTGGTATCACTCAGTATATTTTCGGCCTAAGATTCTTTCTAGTACCTGATCTGAAAGGGGAGTTGGCATGGAAGGAACATTGGACTTGCTATCAGAAAAGCTGCCACTTACTGACTGGGAAACCACAGGCAGGTTACTTTATTTCTCTGAACTTCAGTTTCTTCACTTTCTAAAATAGGGATTTATTTTCCTTACCTGTAAGATTCGTATAGAACATTAAGTGAAATAATACTCTTGAAAGTGGCTGACATAAAATGTGTGCCAAATACATGCAGTGCCTTCTCTGAGGTCTAAGCCGTGTCTGTCTCTTTTTCCACAGATAGACTGAGTAGTACTTCTTTTTTTCCTCTTTAATGTTACTTCTCAGGCCTCAGAGTGAGTTTCCTTCCTTTTCCAACATCTCCCACAGAATGCAGTCTTCCCCCTTTCCCTCAAAACTAACCCTCGGCACATTCCCCTTTAAAGAGCCTCTTACTTTACCGCCCTCCAGGCACCATCTCCTGGGCCAGAGTTCTCTCTTGTGCAGACAGCCACCTTCCTATACCCTTTTCTATTATTAGGGCTCCATATCCCAAACAGGAATGCTTGCTAAAAACTCTGTACAGTCCTCTTTGGAACCTGAAACTGAGACATATTTCTCCCCACTCTGTCCATCCCCTGTTATGTGCTATGATGCCTGCTGCCCTCTGATGAAACTATAGTTTTATGGTGTTACATCATCTCTATAGAAACTGCGTTCTTTCTCCATTGTTAGCCTGTTTCCTCATCTGTAAAGCTAAAAATACTTACCTCACAGGCTTGCTGTAAGGATTATTTTAGTGAGGTATGCAAAGGGCTCAGCACAGGGCTTGGCCTGCTAGAAGCACCCAACAAAAGAGAACTATTATCTTTGTTTTTGTATTGAGTTTCATGTTCCCACCTTCTGCTGCCACACTCAAATTCTCCTAACTCCCCACTAAAAAACTGTTGAGAGATAACACCCCTGGAACAAGGAAAGGGTTAATCTTTGAGTGTTCTTAACTAAAGAGACCCACAGAGGATTAACAGCTCCACTTCAGTGACTACCCTAAAATAGCTTTTATCCTCCTGCCCAAGAGTTACTTGGGGATCTGAAGAACTCAATTCAACACCTGCCGGAGGAAATAGACCCGGAACGCTCCTTGGGGTAGAATCTTCCCTTAAGCAGAACCCAAAATAGCAACTGGGAAATTATAAATAGACTTAGAGGAAAGAAAGAAAAAAAAACAGATCCTGGTCTGAGAATCAGAAACAAATCCTAAAGACACACTGGTTGGCTGGAAAACAGTGAGAAAAGGGGAAATGGGAATGCTGTTACACCCCCTCCCCCACGTCGCCCACTCCAGAGTGGTGGGAGAATTAAATTACAGGGAGGCTGGAGAGTCTCAATGACTTGCATCATTCCAAGAAACATCAAACAGGATTAACAGGGGTTGGATTTACTCTCAGGCTGCTAATTCTTCTGTCAGTGTAGATGGGCCCTCTTTGGAGTCCCTTTGATTCACTATTTCCTCGGATTCCTGCTGCCTCCCACTCCTGGGGAGGCCTTGAACAAATGGCTGCAACTCACCACAACCCCATTTTCATGGGGAGAAAACCTGATTCGACATCCCCGCCCCTCACCTTAGGAGGGAAAGGTTAGAAACCCAAGGCCAGACTAACAACAGTCCCAGGCTGACAGGTGGAAAAACACACAAGCCAGGAGACAGGCTATGCTTGCAGGTGAAAGCACCGATTCCCCTGCACAGTTGTCCCCGTATCCTGCACCTAATAGGGCCCTTTCTCCCCACCAAGGTGGGCCGCAGCCTGGGTCCCAGGCCAGATTTTGGACCACCCCACTGTGGTGTCGGAAAGTTTCAATTTCCCGGGACCTGGGAGAGATGGGAGTGGATGAGGGCTGAAGAAGCAAGGGAAATTCAGGGAGAAGTCTGGAGGGAGTCTCCGGGATGGGAAGGAAGAATGAGGATGGGAAGGAATCATGAGCAAGTTTCCTGGGTCTCTAAGGGAAACCCACAAGAATGAGATGGGGGATTCTAAGGGCTGGAGGGCTGTGCGGGTTGGAGATAGTCAGAAGTGAATCCTCTGAATTTCAAGAGGGTCTCAAAATGGGTAACGGGATGGAAGATGTCGAAAGCTTGGGAGTATGGTCACTGAGGAGGGAACTGCGGTGAGGCTTATCCGAGTTCTCCAGACCCAGATATTTAAGGGAAGCCTCAAAAGGGGTTAGGTAAGTCTGGAAAATGAAACAGGGTACAGGGCGGGCTATCTGGAGCAGGAAAGGGGGTTATGTGGGTCTGGGTAGGCGTGTCGAAGGGAGGGAGCAGGTGCAGCTTATCTGCGTCCCCCAGACCCGGGTCCCGGGTAAGGTCAGCAGCGCGTTATCTGGGTCTCCAGGGAGCCTGGGGGTCGGGAGAGGGAGACCCTGAGAACTGCGTCCTTAAGTCTCGGAAGGGAGGGGGCCAGTGGCTTCCTCGGGTCCCACAGACACAGGTATGGGTCCAGGGAGAGTTTTCGTCACCCCGGGGCCTATCTGGGCCGGGTTGGCGCAGACCCGGCCCCGGATCGGGGATGTGGGCGACCGCGCTGAGGGGCCCGAGATGAGGGGCGCCGCCGCTCCGTGTACAGGGCGCTAGCGGACGTAGCAAGACGGCCTCCCGCCCCGCTCCCCGCCGTCCCCTGGGGCCCTCGTTGGCACTCACCGCGCTCGGGGCCCCGCGCTGCGGGCCGGGCCGCGCTCGGGCTCCGCCAGGCCCGCTCAGGCCCCGGTAGTGGCGGCGGTCGGGCCATTGTGCGGTGCATTGTGGGAGGCGCGCGAGCGGGCGCTCGGGTCGTGGAGGGGGCGGTGCCGCGGGATCTCTATGGTCCCGCCCGCCCGCGGGCTAGAGCGGCCGGGGCGGTGCGCGGGCGGCGCGCAGAGACCGCCGGGAGCGGGGCGGACGCTCGCGTCCCTCCTTTCCTCCCCGACTCTGTGAGGCGGCTGGCTCCGGCTCCCCGGCTGACATGGGCGCCGCCGCGTGGGCACCGCTGCTGCGTGTGTCTCTCCTGCTGCTGCTTCTGCCGCTCCCGGGGATGCCTGCGGGCTCCTGGGACCCGGCCGGTTACCTGCTCTACTGCCCCTGCATGGGTAAGGCCTCCCGAGCCCTCTGCTCAAATGGAGAAACTGAGGCCAGGATAGGACAAGCCACTCCTCTGATGCGCCCAGAGACACCTTCACGGGTCCAGGAGAGAACCTCAGAGAGGGGCAGAGCATGCTCTTCTCTCTGCCCTAGTCGCAAGGACACAGAGGGACCAACGTCTCACAGAGGGACCCCCCCTTCCATTTGACAGATGAGAAAACTGAGGCTGGGAGAGATTACGTGACTTGCTCGAGGACTAAGACAGCCCAGGGTCCAGTAAATGGAGTTAGTGGGGCAGAACTTGATGTCACTGACCCACGCTGGCTCCTGGTGTTTCCTTCATTCATTCAGCAAATATTTATGGGGCACCTGTTCTGTGCCAGGCCCTGTTCTCTCTGCTGGGAGTATGCCAGTGAATAAGACAGGCTCTCCCCGTGTCCGTGTATAGCCTTCACTTTAGTTGGGGAAGACAAAAAATAGAGAATAAGTAGGCCAGGCGGGTGGCTCACTCCTGTAATTCCAGCACTTTGAAAGACCGAGACAGGAGGATCATTTGAAGCTAGGAGTTTTCAAGATCAGCCTGGGCAACGTAGTGAAATCCAATCTAAAAAAAAAAAAAAACTTGAGTATGGTGTCACGTGCTTGTAGTCCCACCTACTTGGGAGGCTGAGGTGGGAGGATTGCTTAAGCCCAGGAGTTCAAGGCTGCAGTGAGCTCTGATTGTGCCACTGCACTTCCAGCTTGGGCGACAGAATGAGACCTTGTCTCAAAACAAGCAAAACCAAAAAAGGATAAACATTAAAAAAAAATAAGTACATAGTTTCATAGAGGATGATGAATACTAAGGGAAAATAAGAGAGCAGGGTAAGGAGAATCTAAAGGCCATGTCAGCTGCATGGTGGAAATGGGTGTGGTGGATCATCATTGTAGAAGTGAAGCATCATTCCTTCTTAAGGCCCCCAGTGGCTTTTAGACTCCTGACCATGGCTTTCAGGGCCCTGCATGATGTGGCCCCCTCTGACCATCTCCACAACTCCCTTCTCTGTTGATCCTCCAGCTGCAGCCACACTTAATCTCCTTTGCATTCCTCACACATGCTCAGGTCTTCAGCCTGCGCTGCTGCATGTGCCAGTCCCTATGCCTGGAACCCTCCCTTTCATTTCTGCTTGACCAGCTGTTTCCCATCCTTCAGGTCTCAACCTAAATGTCACCAGAAAGGACTTCACTGACCTCTACCCAAGTAATCTCATTACCCCATCACCAAACTTTTTTCATCTCTTTCTGGCAACTGTCAACATTTTTCATGTATTTGTTTACATATTTAGTGTCTCCTCAGTGGACTGTGAGTGCCCTGGGGGCAGAGGCCTTGTCCTTCTTGTTCATTCCTGTATCCCAGCACCTAGCACAGAGCCTGGCACATTGTGGCCTCTCAATCATATTTGTGAAATGAATGAACAGATGCCATGTTGGGGTTAACAAAAGGAATCACACAGGCTTCTTGCCCCTGAGGCATTCATAGGCTGAGGAATCAGCCAGTACAAAGGCCACAAAGATATTTGAGGAAAATTGAACTGAAGTAACTCAGAGCCAAGCCAAGATGGGAGGTAGAGGAGGGAGAGGGAGTATGGCAGGGGATTTGTGAAAGGAGCCCAGTAAATGAGGCATTTGAGTTGCCACTCCATGTGCAGGTGAATGGAGATAGAGGTGGAAGGGCTCTTCTGGCTGAGGGACAAGAGCAGAGGCTTGGGGTGGGGGCGGGAATTATAGAGCATGTTGGGGAAACAGCAAGGAACCTGGAGTGGTGGAAGCAGTTGTTGCAGGACCTGAAGATATCAGACCCAAGAGTCCGGACTTGTTCTCGTGCTGCCGACTCCCCTAGTTCTCCTTGGTATCCCTGACTTTCTACCCCTGGCTCCACAACTTTTCTGAGCTCTGCATGCCCTATGCCCTCCCTGCCCCAGGCCTCACCTCACCCTCAATGTACCATTTCCAGGGCGCTTTGGGAACCAGGCCGATCACTTCCTGGGCTCTCTGGCATTTGCAAAGCTGCTAAACCGCACCTTGGCTGTCCCTCCTTGGATTGAGTACCAGCATCACAAGCCTCCCTTCACCAACGTGAGTACTGCTGACCTTGGCCCTTCTCCGCCCTTCCCTGATCTTGCTTTCTTAACCCTCCAAGTCATCTGGGCTTTATTTCCCACTCCTCTGAGATTGCCCTACCTCCAGCCAGAACTGTCTTCACTGAAATAACAATATCTAACATTTATCCAGCACCTGCTGTGTGCGGCTGCATGAGAATTAGCTTATTTCACCCTCATCGCTTGCCTGTGAGGAAACTGGGGTTATGTAACTCGCTCAAGATCACACAGCCTGTGAGTAGTAGAGCTGGAATTCAAAGCCATCTTTGACCCCAGAGCCTGTGACTTGAACCTAAAGCCTCCGTTTCCATCCCTGATTGGCCCTACCCTCTGTGCATTCCATTGGCTGAGGGTGGTGGATGCTGTTATCAATTTTAAAGGAGACATGGAGGCACAGGTCATTTAATAACATGTCTGAGGCCACAACCCAGGCAGCCTGGCTTCGGTGCTGCCTCTCACCCCATCAAGGGGCTCCCTTGTCATGCGATGCTCAGTAGCCTCCAGTTCCTTGCTTATTCTTTGTGTCTTCCAGTGAACTGGTGTCTGTTCATATTGTATCTCCGGGAACTTAATTAATATTTGATGAATTGACTTAATAATTTTTCAATAGACATCAGAAATTATACTTAGTGTGAACAAAACAATTTCATTCTTATAACCTTTTCTCTGCATAAGTTTTACTTTTTCCTTTACATGCCAATATTTACAGAGATTTTTGAACAGAGGTTAAAAGTCAGAGTACCTGAAATCATTGTCTGACTTGGTCACTAGTTGCATAGCCTGGACAGGGTATTTTACCTCTTTGTGCCTCAGTTTCCTCATTTTTTAAATAAGTTGGTAATGATTCTTGTTACTATCTTATGGTGAGAACTGAATGAGTCAGTGACAGTAACATGCCTTCAGTGTTGTTGTATGCCACCTCCCTCTTGGAATCAACTGAGCTCATCAATGTACGAGCCTAAGACAGAGCAAGTCCTCAGTGGAAACCAGTGATGTTCTGATAATTTCACACTCACTTTTTTTTTTTCTTTGACACAGATTCTTGCTCTGTCACCAGGCTGGAGTGCAGTGGCATGATCTTGGCTCACTTCAACCTCTGCCTCCCAAGTAGCCTCAGTGATTCTCCTGCCTCAGCCTCTTGAGTAGCTGGGACTACAGGCACATGCCACCATACCCAGCTAATTTTTGTATTTTTAGTAGAGACGGGGTTTCACCATGTTGGCTAGGATGGTTTCGATCTCTTGACCTCATGATTTGCCCGCCTCAGCCTCCCAAAGTGCTGGGATTACAGGCGTAAGCCACTGCGCCTGGCCTCATACTCATTATTAGAGTGTAGGCATCACCCATCCATCTCTCTCTGGCTTCCTTGCCTTCTCAAACAGTTGTCTTTCCAAGTCCCCACTTCCTTGCTTTCTGTGGCTTACTAACCTGCCCCAACAAAGCTCTCCTTCACCACTGTTAGCATTCTCACTGAGGTCAGCAGTGACCTCCAAATTGCCAGGGGTTATTTCTCAGTCTTTCTCTCATCTGACTTCCCAGTGGCACCTGATCCTGTGAGCCTGTCCTTCCTAAACTTCCCTATTCCAAGACACCACCTGTCCCTGCTGTAAGCTAGTCTCTGAGCATTTTCCTCTTTGCACTGTATCAGGGGCTCCTTTCTTTCCACCCACTGTTTAGATGTTAGTGTTTCTCTTCTTTCTGTTTGCTTATTAGCTACATGACCTCAGATGTTATCTAGATCCTGTATGCTTGGGTTTCTTCATAAGTAAACTGGAGATGGTTATATTCCTACCACTTAGGATTAAATGAGTGAATCTATGTAAAGTGATGAGTGCAGCACCTGGCACTGTGTCAACATGCAATAAATATTAGTTGCCATTATTACCATTACTTGCTTTGCTATGAATATCTGTTGACTCTTGTGGCTTTTACTCTTCTCCATGTACCTCCCAAATTTATCTGTGGCCCAGATTCAGACTCCCCTCTGATTACAGGCCTGTGTTTCTTTTTTTATTTTTATTTTTATTTTTATTTTTATTTTGAGACAAGGTCTCACTGTTGCCCTGCTGGAGTGCAGTGGTATGATCATCACTCACTGCAGCCTCCATCTTCTGGGCTCAAGCAATCCTCCCACCTCAGCCTCTAAGTAGCTGGGACTATAGGCACCCGCCACCACACCTGGCTAATTCTTTGATTTTTAGTAGAGACAAGGTCTCACTATCTTTCCCAGGCTGGTCTCAAACTCCTGAGCCTAAGCAGCCCCCCTGCCTCAGCCTCCCAAAATGCTAGGATTACAGTGAGCCACTACACCCTGCTGAAATTTTTTTAGTTTTGTTTGTTTGTTTGTTTTTCATTTTTGATACATACAGAGTCTCACTCTGTCACCCAGGCTGAAATGCAGTGGTGGAATCTTGGCTCACCACAGCCTCCACCTCCTGGATTCAAGTGATTTTTGTGTCTCCACGCCTGAGTAGCTGGGTCTACAGGCATGCGCCACCATACCTGGCTAATTTTTTGTATTTTTAGTAATGACAGGGTTTCACCATTTTGGCCAGGCTGGTGTCAAACTCCTGGCCTCAAGTAATCTACCTGCCTTGACCTTGCAAAATGCTGGGATTACAAGCATGAGCCACTGCACCTGGCCAGAAATTTTTTCTTTTTCATTGTGGAGTCTTGCTTTTGTCATCCAAGGTGGAGTACAGTAGAGCCATCTCAGCTCACTGCAACCTCCACCTCCCAGGTTCAAACGATTCTCCTGCCTCTGATTTCCCAAGTAGCTGGGATTACAGGCACATGCCACCATGCCTGGCTAATTTTTGTATTTTTAGTAGAGATGGGGTTTCACCATGTTGCCCAGACTGGTCTCCAACTCCTGACCTCAGGTGATCCATCCACCTCCGCCTCCCAAAATACTTAGATCATAGGCATGAGTGACTGCTCCCAGCCAGAAATTTTTTAAAGTCTCGAAAAATACACCAGCCGCGGTGGATCACGCCTATAATCCCAGTCCTTTGGGAGGCTGAGGCGGGTGGATCACCTGAGGTCAAGAGTTCAAGACCAGCCTGGACAACATGGTGAAACCCCATCTCTACTAAAAATATAAAAGTTAGCTGGGTGTGGTGGTGCGTGCCTGTAATCCCAGCTCCTCAGAAGGCTGAGGCAGGAGAATCACTTGAACCCAGGAGGCGGAGGTTGCAATGAGCAGAGATTGGCCACTACACTCCAGCCTGGGTGACAGAGCAAGACTCCATCTTAAAAAACAAAAAATACAAAGATGAATGCAACCACCAACCATGTACCCACTATTAGAATGATAATCATTAATACTTTCTCATCTTTGTTTCCTCTTCTCTTTTTGTTAATCAAATAAATAAAGCATTACAGATAAAGTTGGTAAAAGATGAAGTCTCTTTTTGGCCCCTGGGGCTAGTCCTGGTCCCTGAAGAATTATTGTGGATGTAGCGTATTTGGTGTGACTCCTTTAAAGTTCCTTCCTATACTTCACTGTGGCACTGAGCATCCTGGTACCCATCTCCAGGTCCAAAGTGGAAGAACTTCTCTACTTCTCTACAGCATATAGTTAGGAGAAAAAGGTAATTTTTTTTTTTTTTTTTTGAGACAGTGTCTCGCTTTGTCACCAGGCTGGAACGCAGTGGTGCGATTTCAGCTTACTGCAACCTCTGCCTCCTGGGTTCAAGCAGTTCTCCTGCCTTAACCTCCTGAGTAGCTGGGATTACATGTGTGCACCACCACGCCCAGCTAATTTTTGTATTTTTAGTAGAGACGGAGTTTCACCATATTGCCCAGGGTGGTCTCAGTCTCTTTTTTTGAGACAGAGTTTCACTCTTGTTATCCAGGCTGTAGTGCAATGACGCGATCTCGGCTCACCACAACCTCCGCCTCCTGGGTTCAGGCAATTCTTCTGCCTCAGCCTCCTGAGTAGCTGGGATTACAGGCACGTGCCACCATGCCCAGCTAATTTTTTGTATTTTTAGTAGAGACGGGGTTTCACCATGTTGACCAGGATGGTCTCGATCTCTTGACCTCGTGATCCACCCGCCTCGGCCTCCCAAAGTGCTGGGATTACAGGCGTGAGCCACCGCGCCCGGCTGGTCTCAGTCTCTTGACCTCGTGAACCGCCTGCCCCAACCTCCCAAAGTGCTGGGATTACAGGCATGAGCTACCACGACCGGCAAGAAAGGTACATTTTTGAGAGTCTCACTCTGTGGCCCAGGCTAGAGTACAGTGACACAATAGTCATCCTTCATTGAAGCCTCAACCTCTTGGATGCAAGGAATCCTTCCATCTCAGCCTCCCTAGTAACTGGGACTACAGGTTTGCGCCACCACGCCCAGCTAATTTTTAAATTTTTTGTAGAGACAGGGTCTCACTATGTTGTCTAGGCTGGTCTTGAACTGCTGGCCTCAAGTGATCCTTCTGCCTCGGCCTCCCAAAGTGCCGAGATTACAGACATGAGCTACCACACCTGGTCAAAAGAAGCATTTTAAATTCTAGTAGATACTCACCAATTGCATCCCAAAGTGGTTGCTCCAAAATGTAGACTTCTACTACCAGCCGTGTACAAGAGTGCCCATTTCCCCACAAGTTAAGCTTTTCAGTTTTTGCTGGTCCCATGAGTGAGAAGTAACTGATGCCTTGTTATAATTGTAATTTGCTTTTTCCTGATACTAGTGAGGTTATACGTCTCCTGAGTGTGCTTGCTATTTGGGTCTCCTTTGTTGTGAGTTGTTTACCCCTAACCTTTGCCCATATTTTCTCTTGGCATCATTTGTCTTTTTTTGATATCAGCAGGGTTTTTTTTTTTTTTTTTTTTTTTTTTTTTTTTTTTTAAAATAAAAAAAAAACATCCTTTTTTTTTTTTTTTTTTTTTTTTTTTTTTTTTTTTTTTTTTTTTTTTTTTTTTTTTTTTTTTAACACAAATATTGTTAAAAAGAAAAAAAAAAACACCTGCTGATACAGTTTGTTCTTTAGCTTGCACACTCTCCTCTTAGCCTATCTCTATCCTAACCTTGGTGTCTTTTGACAGAAACTTTTCATTGTCGTGTTGTCTGAACTGTCTTGGTCTTGGAGTGTTGTTTTTTTTTTGAGATGGAGTTTCTCTCTGTCATCCAGGCTAGAGTGCAATGGCACAATCTTGGCTCACTGCAACTTCTGCCTCCTGGGTTCAAGCGATTCTCCTGCCTCAGCTTCCCAAGTAGCTGGGACTACAGGTGCTCACTACTATGCCCAGCTAATTTTTTTGTATTTTCAGTAGAGACAGGGATTCACCATGTTGGCCAGGCTGGTCTCGAATTCCTGACCTCAAGTGATCCACCCACCTTGGCCTCCCAAAGTGCTGGGATTATAGGTGTGAGCCACTGCGCCTGGCCTTACATGTATTTTGTTTTTTGTTTTTTGAGATGGAGTCTCACTGTGTCGCCCAGGCTGGAGTGCAGTGGCACCATATTGGCTCACTGGAACCTCTGGCCCCCAGGTTCAAGCAATCTCCTGCCTCAGCCCCTTGAGTAGCTGGGGTGCCTGCCACCACGCCTGGCTAATGTTTTTGTATTTTTAGTAGAGACAGGGTTTCACCATCTTGGCTAGGCTGGTCTTGAACTCCTGACCTTGTGATCCACCCAAAGTGCTGGGATTACAGGCGTGAGCCACCGCGCCCGGTGAGTGTATTGTTTTAATAAATGTCTAAAGTAGCCATTGGGACACTGAGGTGGGATCTCTGCTTCTCCTTTTCCTGTAGCTCCATGTGTCCTACCAGAAGTACTTCAAGCTGGAGCCCCTCCAAGCTTACCATCGAGTCATCAGCCTGGAGGATTTCATGGAGAAGCTGGCACCCACCCACTGGCCCCCTGAGAAACGGGTGGCATACTGCTTTGAGGTGGCAGCCCAGCGAAGCCCGGATAAGAAGACGTGCCCCATGAAGGTGGGTCCTGTGGGTTCGGGGGCCCTTTCTTTCTGTTCCATGTCCTCTGGGCCCCCGAGACTATATCGTGGCAAAATGTGGGGAAAGGCACAAGAAGGACTTAGGGTAGAAAGATGGAGATTTAAGTCCTGTTTCTGGTATTTGTTAGCGGAGCAGCATCACCTTGGGCAGAAGACTTTGCTTCTCTGAACCTTCATTTCTACCTACAAAATAGTGATGCCAGTGCCTGCTGTGTCTCACTCGTAAAGTATCATGAGGGCCAGGTGAAAGAGTGCTTGTAAACTGTAAAGTGCCATATCAATAATAATAACTACTATTTACATAACACTTTATATGTCAGGTACCATGCTAAGAGCTTTACATGTATCAACTCATTTAATACTCACACTGTTCCATGAGGAAAATACTTATAATATCCCCACTTCGTAGGACGATGAGGACAGCACAGGGAGGGTCAGTATCTTACCTCCCTATGGATCACACAGCAAATAAGTGGTAGAGCTGGGATTCAACCTGGCACTTTGGAAATAAGGCAACCCCCACATGTGTCTTTCGGTGTATGTGGTAAAGTATGGGGAAAGTGGTTGGAAGAGCTATGAAATTTGAGAAGGGAGACCTAGCTCACAGCCCCAACACTGCCCTTTACTTGCCGTGTAACCTTGGGCAAACATCTGACCCTCAGTGGGCCTTGGTTTCCATTTTGAAAATGAAAGTATTGAATTAGCCAATGTTGAATGTCTCTTGAAGCTCTAGTCCTTGGTTCCAAATCCAAAGTCTGCTTCTCCCCAGCCCCTCATCAGTGCTGCAGAGTCAGCAGGATGTGACACATGAACAGGAAAGACTCCTGCTGGAAACCAGAATTGAAGCCAAGGCACTCTCCTTAGCCCCTGGCCCAGGAAATACAGAGTGACATTCCTCCTAGGCCATCCTGTGAGAGTGTTTCAGCCTGAGTCAAATTACCCAGGTTCCCCCACCTACAGTTCCTTGGTCCCATCCCCAAATGGCTTTCCCTCCTCCTCAGTAAGCCTTCCACCACTCTCTTTCTGCAGGAAGGAAACCCCTTTGGCCCATTCTGGGATCAGTTTCATGTGAGTTTCAACAAGTCGGAGCTTTTTACAGGCATTTCCTTCAGTGCTTCCTACAGAGAACAATGGAGCCAGAGGTACTTGGAGGGGTAGCGTTGCTGGGTTTAGGGGAGGGGCGTGGAGCTCATGGGCATTCAGCACCTTCCTGGCACTCCCCTTGTCTTCCCCACCCTGAAGTATGAGACCAAAGGTACAGGTGCTCTGTCTGTTGAACTTGGAATCCTGTGTGATCTGTTACCATCTCCACGCCTGACACGGTGGAACGTTGACCTGCCATGGGGTTGAGAAAGAGTTTATCAGTTGATAAGGAATGTCATAAAAAGAACATTCGACAGTCACATGAGTCTCAATTTCCTCCTCTAGGCGTGAGAATCACTCCTGTGTTACCTTACTCTTCACAAGGTGAAATTGGAAGCAGCTTCTACAGAACAGTTTTAGGTGCAGACGGAGAAATGATGTCATCCTGATAATTACTGGATGTGTTTATTAATTGCACTCCATTAGGCCCTGTTTAAAAAAAAAATAGGTTAGCAGGACATGGGCACAGGCCATGAAACATTTATAGGGCATCTGTCATGTGTGAGACATAATGCTCAGAGGCCAATGGTGATCTGTAAAAATGAGAATGACCTGGCTCTGGTTTTCTAGAAGCTATGGTCTTATAATGACAGTATAGTGTACTTGTCCTTAATGCTGTAGCATGGCAGGAAAGATAGTGCACTTAGAAAGCAGACATTGGTTAGGAGATGCAAGGAACGTATTAATTCATGTGTGGTCAAAGCACTTGGCGTTTAATAGGCCAAAGGTAAACAGATGTAGAGAAATGAGGCTGACACCTGTAATCGCAACACTTTGGAAGACCAAGGTGGGTAGATCACTTGAGCCTAAGAGATCAAGGCCGCAGTGAGCCATGATCACACCACTGCACTCCAGCAAAGGTGACAGAGCAAGGGCCTGTCTCAACAAAACAAAACAAAAACAAATAAAACAAGCGCATTCCGGCCGGGCGCGGTGGCTCAAGCCTGTAATCCCAGCACTTTGGGAGGCCGAGTCGGGTGGATCACGAGGTCAAGAGATCGAGACCATCCTGGTCAACATGGTGAAACCCCGTCTCTACTAAAAATACAAAACATTAGCTGGGCATGGTGGCGCGTGCCTGTAATCCCAG